GGAGCAAGATTCAACTCTGTGAGTATTTCTCAACTTCTGGTGTTTAAGTAGGTTGTAATTGCAAGGCTTTGTGGGTGGTGGAAGGTTGATCTGGCTCTAAAATAAAGAAATGGAAGAAAACACACTGAACCGGTGGGCCTGGACTGGGGCCGGGAAAGAAACTACGAGAAAACATGAAGGAAATACATCCAAACTGCCTTATAATGTCATGGAGCCAGCTAATAAGTAAAATTTGATTATTACAAGGTCGCTGCAAAACTCGATTACTAAACTCATTTTGAAAGAACCCTAAACTGACTCCTTTTTTGTGGCTTCCAGTTTTCTGGGAAAGGAGGGATCTGGGGCACTAAATGACCACAGAACAAACAGTTCTTTACTCCCAGGGTGTGCTTGAAAAAGACCAAAATACAAGAGGGGGGACCTGAGAGTGTGAGGCTAAGGAGAAAAAGAGTCGAGAGCAGCTGGAATGAGCCCAGTGCAGTGTGGGTGGCTTAGCCTTCTCCCTCAGAGGTCAAAGTGTTTGTTTGTTCCAGTATGAAGGATACTAGCTGGATTTTTGTTTTTGTCTTTTCATGGCTTTGGTTTGGGTCTTCCTTGGCTTTCCAAATTATTTGATTCTCTCCGCCTCAGCAAGATCCTGGTGACATTTATGGGCCCAACCCCATCAGCGCAGGGAAACCACCCCTGCACCTATCTCCTCCTCACCCCCCTCTCTTAGCCCTTCAACAAGAGAATTGTCTATTTGCCTATATCTTTGCGGAGAAGGAGAGACCTGGAAGTCTGGGGTGATAATAGCAGCATCAGAAATCCTGACTCCGGACCTTCTGAAACTGCTCTTCCTTAGCTGGGATTTATGGATGATCATCCTCGGTAGCTTCCTACACCTGAGCTCTGTTGCCTTGGGTCCAAGGGGACATGAACCCTGGTTCCCTACAAAACCATGCTTTGACATATTACTTTGCTGCATCCACTTCCTTCTGCAGAACAACAGTTCATACTCTTCAAAAGGGGAAGGGTTAACATTGCTTTAAAAACAGAAAGCCATTCTGTCTCACAAAGGAATGAATTACTTGACACTTTGGGGAGGAAAAATGTGAAACATCTTCTTACAGCTAAAAGCAAGTCTGACACTAGATTGAGGATTATTTAGCCTAGGGATGCCCTTGCAGTTCCTGGGAAAGCATGGGCAGAGTAAGTTTAGCCTCTGGTGATGTGTGTGGTGGACAAGACTAACTTCCAAGGCAGGAAAGGGTCATATTTGTTCTGCTTCTTCCAAAGGTTTTACAGGGAGAACTGGAGGGCACATCCATGACAGAAACACTCTACGAGTTAGTTGATTGTCCTACATACTCAAAAATGAAATATTATACATGAAATGCATAATAAACATAAAATTCTTACCCATAGTGCAAACCCTGAGTACCATATCATGAGGATCCAGGGATTAACGAGGCAACTGTTATATAACCCTTTCTGAAGAGAATCCCTTTACATAATACATCACACCTAGACAGGAACAGGAACTCCATCTGAGCCTAGAGGTGCAACTTCAAAATTATATATGTAAATATGCAAAAGAAATTTACAAGAAAAAAGGGGAAGTATAATCAAGGAAAGATGGAAATCAAGTGTGATTTTTAAGTTCTTTGGGGCTGCTTTTGGGGATGTCAAAGGAATCCAAGGAAAGCTTAAGGCAGAATTTCAAGACCGGGTATAAATTAATAGGGTGTTGAAGGGATACAGAAGATTACCCAGCAAGTGCTGATGACAGTCACCTCTCTGGTACATGACAAGGGCTCTTCAACAGTTGGCCCAGGAGAAAGGGTGTAGGGAGGGCAAGCGAACCTGTGTCCCAATCATAAATTTGTTTGCTTGGCTTCCTTGACTCCTATAAGGTCTGTTACATAGTTACTGGGTTTTTTTGAGCACTTTGCACCAAACACTTATTTACATTATGCCCTTTACTTTTCCCCATAATTCTAAAAAGAAGGTATATTTAATATTATAGATGGAATGAGGTCCAAACAAGTTATGCAATTTATCCAAGGTCACATAGACAGATTTTGTGGAGCAGGGATTTGAAACTATGTCTATTTGATTCTAAGGCACATAGTCTTTACATTGCATTGCCCCCAAAGGGTAATTTGACTGATTAGTTTACCTTAGGCCCTCATATTATAGACTCTGGACCTAACACAGTGGGATCCTAGATAGAACTGCTAGATTAAAAAAATAGAAGATGCCCAGTAAAATTATAATTTCAGATAAACAACAAATAATTTTTTGTATAAGTATGTACCATGAAATATTTGGGATATACTTATAATAAAAACCCCATTCATTATTTATCTGAAATTCAAATTTAACTGGGTGTCCTGCATTCTTCTTTGTTAAATCTGGTAATCCTAATCCCAGTAAGCTCTCCAGAGGAGAGAAAGGAAAATTTGTGCTTTCTTACTATTTTGAAAGAATTGAGAAGTCCAAAACTCTTGATCTGAGAGAAATTCTCTAATTTTCTTCTGTGGCTTTGTCAGAGCTGGGATGTTTCAGTTACTGATGGTAAACTCTGAGAATAATGCTGCTCTTGGCTGCCCACCAGCAGTTTCCATGGTTCCAACCACACTTAGAAGAGACACAAACTTTGCCAGTTTACCAGGGCAAAAGAGGGTCCACAGCACAAGAACTGGATTCAGTGAACAGATGAGCTGGCAGCCCATTTCCTAAAGCCCCTGAGAGTTTTGTGAGGTGAAGACCAACTGATGCCTTCTCTGTGGTTTGGTGAAGGAGTCATGGGGTCAGGATCTCATGACCCAAAGTTCAAGGTATTAGTTCAACTTCTCCATTTATTTATTCACCCATTCGACAAATAGATACCGCACACCTGCTATATGCCAGACACTGCTCTAGGTTTTGAGGCCACAGAAATGAACAAAAATGGGAAAAAAAGCCCACTGGAGCACAGTCCAGTGGAGAATTAATACAAGATCCCTGGCATGAGCAAGTGATCAAGAGCCCTGGCCAGGTTCACCATCCCGGGTGATTAGTCACAGATTAGTCAATGTGTTTCTGTGGAAGAAGTTGAGAACTAGCAGGAGAAAATGAAAATAGTAATTGAGGAAAAGAAGATAAGGAAAAAATCTTTTAGGCAAGGATAATAATTTTTTTCCTTTAAATTTTTTTATTGTTATGTTAATCCCCATACATTACATCATTAGTGTTTTTGATGTAGTGTTCCATGATTCATTGTTTGTGCATAACACCCAGTGCTCCACGCAGAACGTGCCCTCCCTAATACCCATCACCGGGCTAAACCCATCCCCCCACCCCCCTCCCCTCTAGAACCCTCAGTGTGTTTCTCAGAGTCCACCGTCTTTCATGGGTGGTCTCCCCCTCTGATTTACTCCCTTTCATTCTTCCCCTCCTGCTATCTTCTTCTTCTTTTTTTTTTCTTAACATATATTGCATTATTTGTTTCAGAAGTACAGGTCTGTGATTCAACAGTCTTGCACAATTCACAGCGCTCACCATAGCACATACCCTCCCCAATGTCGATGGCAAGGATAATAATTTAAACTCATTTTGAAAGTAATAAGAAAAAGCCAATGAACTTGAAGTCATACAATATAAAATTTGAGGCATGTTCAATGTGGTGGAGAAAGAGAAAGATGGTTAGCATGGGCCAAAGATGGTCAGGGAGAGCTGAAACTAAGAATATTAGCATAAATCTATAATTTATAGATTATATAAATAAATAAATCTTCCAGGTAGCAGAGCATGGAAGGGTTTGGCTCAGGGTAAGAGATTAAGGCTACTTAGAAGTTCTTTGGGGTTTTTTAGAATCTTCCTTCCCAGGAAAAATGTTATCAATTTTTGTGATAGAAAAAGAGAAAGAAGGGCGCCTGGGTGGCTCAGTTGGTTAAGTGACTGCCTTCGGCTCAGGTCATGATCCTGGAGTCCCGGGATCAAGTCCCGCATCGGGCTCCCTGCTCAGCAAGGAGTTTGCTTCACCCTCTGACCCTCTTCCCTCTCGTGCTCTCTATCTCTCATTCTCTCTCTCTCGAATAAATAAATAAAAAAAAAGAAAAAGAGAAAGAAGAAAGGTCATCCTTTAGCTTAACATATTTACTTTTAAAATTTATCTCGTTAATGCATCTCTATTTGTACTTGAAGAATGACAATGTACATTTCTATAGCTAAAATCAAAGTCTGTGAAAATCATATTGGATAAGTCCATGATTTGGATAGGAGAAAACGTAGAACATTTCAGAGAAATGGGTGGCTAAAGAACCTCATGTCTGGATATGGAGTTAAAGCATAAACGTACTACTTAATCACCTTCCATTGATTTTCCTGTGTGTGTGTGTGTGTGTGTGTGTATACTGGGATGTATCACATACTACATGGGGGTTAGGTGTCTCTGGCTCAGAGGTCCCCTGTCCAGATGACTACTTTGTTATTCCCCAGAACTAGGAAAAAATATCTTGATTACATGAGGTTTAAACAAAGTAAGGACTGTAAAGTAAAAAGCCCATAAAATATGAGGAAATAAACATTAAGAGTCAGGTTATTGTTTAGTTGGGTGGAAAAATATATAAAGCTTAAAGAATGTATCAGTGTTGTAAAGACTATAGATAGCATTTAGTCCATTTCTCTCTCTTCACAGATGGTGGAAGTGGTGATCACAGAGGGGCAGTACATATCATAATAAATAAATAAATACATATCAAATAATACATAGGAAGCTAGTGACGATTTATTGAAACAACACATCTACCTAGATTTTTGGTTTGTAAAAATCTGTTATCAGTCTACATCCAACTACATTGAGTGCCTCCATTGATTTATACCATATTTTCTTGAAAATTTCTTTAAAAGTTGGTAAGTTCTTCCCTTTTGTGCACACAAAGTCCTGAGTTTTTCTGGCGTTTCCAGTGAGGGTCTAAGAATCAATGGTCCCTGTACCCTGAGGGGCCTTTTTTTTTTTCCTCTCACCATCTAAGGAACCTGAAAGAGAACCATCAGACACCCACGGACATCAGAATGAGTGACAACGCTACTTTGGTTCCTCCAGCTTCAAACCAGGGTCCCACTACCCCAGGCAAGGGGCCCCCCAAGTTCAAGCAGAGACAGACTCGCCTATTCAAGAGCAAGCCTCCTAAGAAAGGTGTGAAAGGGTAAGACCAAAATGAAAAAGAAGACTTTCTATTTTTTTGAGAAATTAATGCTCCCAATATTAAATAGACTTACAAAGATTTCCACCCCATCCTCTATTTTCCTCTCTACCACAATCTTTGTTGAATCACATTGTTAGCCCTGGAGGGCTTTCTCTCTCACCTCCCAGGTCTGTGGTCACATTTAACATGGCAAATAGAACCTGTCACAGCAACCTTTGACTTGACCTTCCAGAATTTTCTTGACCACTCCTCTTCACTGGTACACATTGTGGTTTAATTTGGAGTACTAAAACACTTTCCATTTCCAGAATACAGAGTTTATTTTTATGGTTTCAAATGTTAAGTCTTCAGTTCTTTATTTTTCTCTTTCTCTTCTTGGCAAAATCCTACTTATTTAACATACTCTCATATGTTAATTTCTCTTTTGAAGCCGTGACTGACTCTCTTAGACAAATGTGATCATGGCTTTCATGTTTGCATTTCGTACATTCAGCTCTCATAACTTATATTGTTTTACATTACATTTGTTTATTTACATCTGTTCTCTGAGATTGAAGTTCCTCAGAGAAAATTACTTTTTTCCTCAATTCCCTATGCTTAATACAATGCCTGGCACATAGTAAATGCTTGATAAATGCTTTTGGGTAGCTAACCAAATGGATGAATTAATCATTTAAATGTCTTTCGTACTGTGTTTTCGTTCCAATTTCTTTTTTTTTTTTAAGATTTTATTCATTTATTTATTTGACAGCGCAAGAGAGCACAAGCAGGGGGAGCAGCGGAGAGAGAGGGAGAAGTGGACTCCCCGCTGAGCAGGGAGCTTGATGTGAGGCTGGATCCCAGGACCCTGGGATCATGACCTGAGCCGAAGGCAGACACCCAACCGACTGAGTCACCTGGGCGCCCCTCATTCCAATTTCTATTTTTAAAAGTGGAGCTTGACTAAGTTGCCCCAGGAATAGTTCTATTTGGCTCTCAGTTGTCTTAGGCTAAATTTTTAGGAGGGGAAAATCTCTCCACAGGGACACACTGTCTGAAACCAGCCTGAGTGACTTTATCTTTTCCCCAGGTCAATGCAAATAAAAGATATTTCTCAAAGACAAAATCTTAAACCTCTTCTTTCCCCCTTAGTCAGGAAGCTCTCGATATGAGATCCTTTCACTCTGATGTCAGCTAATTTTTCTTTTTTTTCCCATAGGTTTGGAGATGACATTCCAGGCTTGGAGGGGCTAGGAACAGGTGAGCCACCCAAGGCCATGGACTTTCACTTGGAATTTTACCACTATCCATACTTTAGGCCTCAAAGGGCCATGAAAAATTACAAGAAATAGCTAAGGCAGCAGATCCTTGAAGACATAGAAGTGTGGGGCTTAGTTTAATCTCCTAAGTAAGTACACATGTGCTCAGAGGCAAAAACTCTAACAGAGATCAAGCTAAGGTCCAAAGATACTAAATCCTCTTGTTCTGTTAAACAACACTTGAGGACATCTAACGGTGAGTTGTAGACTTTCATGGTAGAAAGATTCTCAGGGTTCATTTATCCCAACTTCATCATTTCTTCAGAAGAGAAATCTGAGACAGAGAGGAATGAAGTGACAATCTGAGGCCACAGAGTGAGGTACTGGAAACAAGGGAGGGGCCTGGAGAACTTTTTCACTCTACCAGACAAACCACTCCTTAACCAACTTCTTTTTACATATCCTCTGGCACCCAGAACAGGGCCTACACACTGAATGTATCCAATACAATATTTTTTAGTCAGCTAGTATAATTTGATTTGTTGGATAATGAATGAAAACAACTGGATCTTCCTTTTAAAAACACTGAACTTCGGGGCGCCTGGGTGGCTTAGTTGGTTAAGTGACTGCCTTCCTCTCAGGTCATGATCCTGGAGTCCTGGGATGGAGTCCCACATCGGGCTCCCTGCTCAGTAGGGAGTCTGCTTCTCCCTCTGACCCTCCCCCCTCTCATGTGCTCTCTCTCTCTCTTTCAAATAAATAAATGAAATCTTAAAAAAAAATTAAAAAAAATAAAAACACTGAACTTTATTTTTTAGAGCTGTTTTAGGTTTACAGAAAACTTAAGCAGAAAGTATGGAGCTCCTCCATACGCCTGTACATAGTTTCCCCTATTATTAGCATCTTGCATTAGTGTGGTACATTTGTTACGAATGATGAACCAGTATTAGTAACATTATTATTAACTAGCATTCATAGCTTATATTAGGATTCCCTCTTAGTGTTGTCCAGGTTTTGACAAAGGCACAATGTTGTGTATCCATCATTACAGGTATACACAGAATAGATGCCCTAAAAATCCCATGGGCTCCACATGTTCATCCCTTCTCCCACCCTCCACAAACTCATGACAACCACAAATCTTTTTACTCTCAAAAAGTTTTGCCTTTTCCAGATTGTCATATAGTTAGAATCATACAGTATATAGATTTTCCAGCCTGGCTTCTTTCACTTAGCAATATTTATTCATTTAAGGTTCCTCCATGTCCTATATGGCTTGATAGTTCATTTTTTTTTTTTACCACAGAATAATATTTCATTCTATGGCTGTATCACAATTTGCTTACCCTATTAAAAGATATTTTGTTGCTCCCAAATTTTCACAATTATGAATAATACTGCTATAAACACCATTGTGCGGGGTTGCGTTTTTTTTTTAAAGCTTTTTATTTATTTATTTGAGAGAGAGAGACACAGCAAGAGAGGGAACACAAGCAGGGGGAGTGAGAGAGGGAGAAGCAGACTCCCCGACAAGCAGGGAGCCCGATAGGGGACTCCATCCCAGGACCCTGGGATCATGACCTGAGCCAAAGGCAGACGCTTAACAGACTGAGCCACCCAGGCGCCCCATTGTGCAGGTTGTTGAGTGGACATGTTTTCAACTTATCCAGTACACTTTTGATAAATGGTGTAATCAGTAATCAGTGTCCTTACCAGGCAATTCTCATTGTATTTGCTTTTAACAGTTAAATGCCACTCCTGAGACCTCAAATACATTTTTCAGCTATTTTATAAAGGTCATTTGCTATTCCCCTAAATCAACTGCTTTTGTATTTTGGCCAGATGTACATAAGACCAGCAGATTTGCTTTGGGTTCTGGAGGATATGCTTAACTCTGCCAACATATTTGGAATACTGGAAAGAGCTTTATACTGAGGGGAGATCTGAGATCTTTGACTTGGTTTTAGTCCCAACTCTATAACTCTGATTTTTCTGTAGGTATTTAATCTCTTTGTGTTCCAGTCAGCTTCTCTGTAATTCAGGGATAATAATATTTTATTGCCTGAAGCAAAAAATTGGATTAGCAGATGCCTTGAGATTACTTCTCAATATGTGACTGGATATAGTAGACATTTCAAAATGTAAAGGAACTAAAAAGTGAGTCAGAGAAGAATGCATCTGAATGGGTAGGAAGTAAGAAGGCAGTGGATTTCCAGATCATGGGAATTTAAAATGCTTCTATTTCTCATTTTAAAGCCTTGGCCTGATTAGAATTCCACTTGTGTTCCTTCCATAGTGGTTGTGTTTTGAGGAGACCCAGTTTGATCAGTGACCTGCACCCCCTACCCAAGGCTAGCTCCAGTCAAAAGCCTTGGGTCACCTCTCCAAAGACGTACAGAATGAAACCAATGAAGATGCTTACCTAGGGGGCCTGTTCTGGGGGCATCAGAACCCTGCAAGGGATTAATTAAGCAATCAGTCGAATCCTTCCTGGGCGGCGGGGCCATTGTGGATAACTTCCTGGTTACTGAGACAATGAATAGGAGAGAGGAGTGAGGTGCCTTCTTGAGGCTCTGAGGGGCAGGGGGAGAGGTTGGCTTACAAGTTCTTCTTCCCTCTCTTGCAGATATCACGGTGATTTGTCCCTGGGAGGCATTCAACCACCTGGAATTGCATGAGCTTGCTCAATTTGGGATCATCTGATGCACCAGAGGTTCTGCCATCAACAGCATCTGCTGGAGTTTTGATTACTTTTGCCCTATGATCTGCCAGAGTCTTGAAATTCAGCATGGTTCAGAAGTGGTTTCCTCAGCTTACACAAGTCATTTCCCCTAAATTGCTACAAAGAGTTCTTAGTGTCGGACTCTCTCTTGCCATATAGTTCAGCTTGGAATAGTGGATGCAAATTGACTTTTGTTAGGGCATTTCAAACTTTACCACCTTTTCCTATCAGCTGGTTAGAATTCATTGATAGTTCTCTGAATTTTGTTTATTTGTTAAGTTCTTCAAATCTATTTGTAGTAGACATTCCCTGTAATTAGTAGTAGCTTTTTAAGTTAACATTTATGTCACTCCCTTCCCTTTCTCATTTAATAAAGGAGATACTTATCTTGAATCTAATGATGCAGTTGTGTTAAATGCTATACGCAAATATCTGATGCCCTGTTCTGAGAGCCAGTTAGACAAAGAAGGCACAGTCCTCCAGGAAACAAGCACAGTGCATGTGAAAGAGCATAGGAATAAGAGTCAAGCCTGATTCTGCTTTGTAAGTTAGTAAATTGTGCATGTTCTTGGTCTAAATTTTATTGAACTGGGTTATCCCTGAGGTCCTATGCAGCTTGTACAAATTGGACAGCCTTATGTTGATGGAAGACTGGCGATTTAAACTCAGGAATCTGATAATGTGAGACTTCCTTTTAGTGCCTTGGCTCAGCTAATTGACAAGATTTAGTTCTATAAAGTTTAGACTCATATGCAAAGACAGGTAGTTGAGCCCTCTAAATAAAATGATGGGTTGCTTCACCCCTGAGGTTGTGTCAAATGTAATGTGTACATAGCTATCGTTCCCCAGTACTTTCAAGGCAATTGTGCAATTCAAAGGCTGCCTCTGTCTGACTTGGATGCTTTGGGTACTAGCCATATTAATTTCTTCATTTCAGTTTTGTAATCTGTGGTAAAAAAGTGGAGTAAATTAACTGAAGAGAGAGTTGGGATTATAGAGAGGAAAGAGATCTGGGTTCTAATCCTGGCTCGACCAGTAAATTACTCTGCAATTTAGGACAAAGATTTCTCACTTTGGATCCTCTAGGTTGCCTGAATCAGGTAATGTAAGGTTCATGGCAGTGATAATTCCATGACATTGAGGCCTGCAGAGTCTAAGAATGAGAATTCAAGGAGCTCAGCACTCTAGAAAATGTCTTGTGCCGCAGGCTCTGTACCATTTTGCACAAATGACCTACTGACCTCTGGCCAGAAGACTAGAAGCCCAAGGAAGGCATCTGGATTGGTAGGGGGTAAGGAGACTGTGGATTTCCAGACCATAGGAATTTAAAGCAGTCCTATTTTTTTTTTTTTAATTTTAATTCTTGGCCTGACTAGAATTCCATTTCTGTTCCCCCCTTGGTAGAAACAAAAAGGTACAGAAGAAAAAGTAAAGCATAAATTCAAGAGTGGAACCATGACATGCCAGATGTTAGTGGGGATGTGTGCTTCTCCCTTAGCAGGGACTCCACCCATGGACCTGTTTTCCATCTAGCAGCTCCATTTGATAGCCAGAGCCTCGGGCTGCACTCGTTCATTCCCATATGCCTCTCAGTTACGGAGGTCTGGGTTCTTTTCCAGTTAGGTGTGACTCTGGTCCACATTTGGTTTACTTTGCAAAGGTTTCTCTAGACGTTTTAAGAACACACCCAGAGGACCATACTCAATGGCCAGGCTGGAGAAGGATCTAGAAACCATGCTACATGAAGAATTGTCGAAGGAATTGATAATATTTAGCCTAGAGGGGAAAAACGATAATTGCCAGCAAATATTTGAGAAGTTGTAATGAACCGGATGAAGCAGATCTATTTTATGAAGTATTCTGGCATTTGGCAGTAAGCTGCAACAGATAAATTGAAAGCCATTCAAATCCTAGAATTCTATTCTTTCCATTTCTAATTCTACATCTCCCATTTCTATTATTTCTAATAAGAAACAAGAAAGCCCTTCTTATATAAATAGCAGATAGGAAAGAGAGAAAGTAAATCATGCTTCCAACCAAAGTGTTGGCAGCTGAGGTGATATATTCAGAGTAACTGAGGAAGTTTAAACAAAGGGACTATTTAAAAAGGCTTGGGGTGGGGGTGCCTCGCTGGCTCAGTCGTTAGAACATGCGACCCTTGACCTCGGGGTCTTAGGTTCAAGCCCCACATTGGGTGTAGTGCTTACTTAAAAAAAAAAAAAAGAATAAGGTAAAAAAGGCTTGAGAAGGGTTAAGGCGTATCTATAAAAGGTAGGACAGTAACCTGGGGCTAGCAACAGTGTTGGGGCTACAATGTTTCCAGCCTTACACCTGACGGAATCCCAGTAGGTCTTCTCTGTAAGAAAGGCCCCCACGAGGGCTGTGGAAGGACACAACCACCCCACAGTGATCCTGTGAGTAATCAAGAGGGGCTGGGGGTGAGGCTTATCAATAACCTAGTGGTATTCTTCTCCCATCCTCTCCTCTCTTGATGCTTCCCATTGGATAAACCTACTTGGAAGTCAGAAGACAAAGGAGCCCACTGATGTGGTCTAAAGTTCACTTCCAACGGCAGGGATCAGGTGGAGAAGGGTGGAGAGTGGATGTGTAGGGGCGAATGGGAACCATCCGGCGGGGCACAGTATGAAAGAACAGAAGCCCTTTGTCCGCCAAAATTGTTAGCTGGAGTTGGGAAATAAGCCTGGGTATGTGTAAAACCTGTGAGGGTAGAGGAAGGACAATGTCAAATAGAAGAACACGAAAGACAAAAGGGAAAAATCGCAAGAGGAAGTTATCGTAGCATTTAAGGGTCTGGAGAATTTCTGGAAACGTTCTGACACTTTCTCAATAGTAATAACCACTGAGGATTTCTTGTGAAAAACACAGAATTTGGGCCCCACTCCAAATTTTCTGAGTAAAGGTCTCCAGGGGTGAGATCTCAGAATCTTTTATTTTCAAGAGGGGCTCCAGGGGATTCTTATGATTGTGTCGGTTTGAAAACACTGATGTGGTCCAAGCCTACCTTGTGAACGTTAGGAGTTAGAGAATTCTCGTTGCCACCCAGGTGACTGATATAGCTGGGTCCACGTGCCCCTCATAACGTATGCAACAGATGTGAGAACAGGAGCTAACATTCGGGTGTCCTGACTCTTGGATTGACAGAATAGACATGCCTCATGACTTCAGACCCAACCCAGTTACCTGCTTCTCAAATTGCACAGAATGTCAGAGAGTTTGGAAGGTAAGTGTTAGACTGAAGCAGTTCCAAGAAATATAGGGCCAAACGGGCACCATGACTCCCTGGGTGAACCTCTTGCCATTGTGTCACATGGTGGTCACCCTTGTTCTGTTGCTCCTCTGACTGGAGTAGGGGAGACCAGGGAGGGAAAGAGCTTTGTCTCAGCAAGTGGAGGCAGTGACCTTCACTCATCCTTCACCATTTTCTATTTGTTCACATTATTGGGTAGAAGTTGGGGTTGATGGAGCTGGTGATGTAAGTGCCGACCCCCATTCCAGAGCGAAGTAGCATTACCACCGGAGAAGAAAATAATGTGTAAGGAGAAAATGCTCCTCTGGAGCGCCTTACCATAGGCAAATAAACACAGTTGTTATTAAAGACTCTAATTTTTTCCTTTGCCCAATGAGAAAAACAAGAATCACCATACACTGAGGAAAGGAGGGAAAGTATTTTCTCAACAACTAAAGAAGGGAGGGGAAAACACACATAGACAAGGATAATCCGTAAGACTAAGATTTTGCGCAAGAGGAAATCCAATCACTCGAGACTGACCAACACAACTAATATTATGACAACTAAGCAAATATGACACTGACTTGTTTTAAAGAGAGAAACAGAAAAGGACTTACATTTTAGAAAAGGCTAGAGGGAAAGACTTAGGTCACAAAAATTGTGTGCTTGTATAAACTAGCGTAGTGTTTTCTGCAACTCTAAAAGAGTTATTTGACTCTCTTTTTATTTTTTAAGGGCAGAGTCAGACTGATGAAAACTGGAATTTAAAACAAAAATCATGTAAGACTGATGAATCATAGACCTGTACCCCCGAAACAAATAATACATTATGTGTTAATAAAAAAAAATAAAGTACAACCACTGGTTAACGACCCTTAAAAACAAAACAAAACAAAACAAAACAAAACAAAACAAAACAAAACAAGAATCATAAACTGATGATCCACATCAGTCTCACAATGCCCTTACGGCCAAACAATCAGGAGTCGTGGGTTTGGCTGGCTGTGCTGCGTAGGATCTGCTAGACAGCTTCTTGGGCTCAGTGTTTGAGAATAAAGCAAAGATATTGGACTAAATAACTGTCAAGGTCCCTTGCAGTATAAAATTCTAGAAATCAAGTGATAAATCTGAGCATATTTCAAACATGAACAAACCATTCTCTTTCCGGCCAGAAGTCCCAAGGCACTGAGTTCCCAGCTCTTTTCATGTATAATACTGCCACCTGCTGTAATGAATGAACACCACAAGGACACTTGGAAGATTCTATTGGAAAACTTGTAATCCATGGAGCTACTTCTGAATTTGTTCCCATTCACTAACCAGTTCCAATTGTTGTACACCTTGGGTATTCATGTGTATCAAGCACATGCTTATTCATGCCTAAGATAAACATTTAAAAGAGTATACACAGGAACAAGGTAAGTCTCATTTTTACCCCCTGCCCTCTGTCTCCTGCCCGTTCTCAGGCAATCCCTGTTACTAGTTTGTTGTGAATACTTCCAGAGACAATCCTATGTGCATACATTTTTTTCCTTTGCACGATAATCACCTACTATAGTCACCGTTCCATACCTTGCTTGGTCACCTATCTTATCTTGGGGATTGAGGGACATTTGGGATGTTTTTATTTTATTTTATTTTTTAGATTTTTATTTATTTATTTGAGAGAGACAGAGAGAGAGAGCACAGAGGGAGAGTGAGGAGAAGCAGACTCCCTGCTGAGCAGGGAGCCCAGCGTGGGGTTCGATTCCAGGACCCTGAGATCATGACCTCGAAGATGCTTAACCGACTCAGCCACCCAGGTGCCCTGATTTGGGATGTTTTTAGACTCGTTCATCTTTCTTTAATTGTTTGCACATGTCTGACACTTTTGCACAGGCTTATCTCTAGGGTAAATTCTTAGTAGTAGAATGGATGGAGTTTGAAGGAAAGAGATTGCCAAATTAGCCTCTAAATAATTTGTGATCACAAAGTACACAATTATATACACTTTTCTTAACACTCTCATCTAATAGAATATTCATGCATTTTTATTTTGTCTGAGACTGAGCAGGTTTTCATGTTTAAAAATCACTTTTATGTCTTTATGAATTGTTTTCTTATGTGTTTTGCCTGTTTTCCAATAAGATGGTTGATTTTT